CCCATAGACTGTCCAACTTCCATGTAAATTAACTCAGAATATATCTTGGACTTGATACATAATGCAAAACAAAAAAACTTTGAGAAGAAAACATAGGAAAGAAAGACCTTGGGTTTGTCGATGAGCTTTTAGATATGCCAAGAACATGATTTGCAGAAGAAAAACATTAGTTAAGTAGGCCTTTATTCAAATTTAAAACAACAACAACAACAAAACTTTCCTATAAGAGATACTGTTAAGGGAATGAAAAGAGAAGACTCAGCCTGGGAGAAGATACTTGCAAAAATGACTCGTATCCAAAATATACAAAGAAATCTTAAAACTCAACAATAAGAAAACAAAGAACCCAAGTTAAAAAAAACGGACAAAATATCTGGACACCTCACCAAAGAAGACACACAGATGGCAAATAAGCATATGAAAAGCTGTTCGACATTATTCGTCATTAGGGAATTGGAAATTAAAATAAGATACTATCGCACACTTACTAAAATGGCCAAACTCCAAAAAGCTGACAATACCAAATACTGAAGTCTTTCTTAATGTGTATTTAGAATATATTGTTTCTCAGAATAATTGTGTATCCTTGCAAGAAAGGAAGCAGAGAGAATATTTGCACCATGTAACTAGCCAATAAGATTACTCAAGAGTAAGAGAATTCTTACATCTCAATAGGAAAAAGAAAGCAAGCCAATATAGAAAAATGGGCAAAAACCATAAAAATATATTTTATTGAAGACAAACCACATATGGCCATTAGACACATAAAAAGATGGTGAGCCCCTGGGGTACTGCAAAGCATCTGCCCAAGTAGGCTCTATTTGATACCCAGGTGATTATAAAAATTAAGAAGTCTGACGATGCTAAGTATTAGTGATAACATGGTCATTAGGATCTCCCATATACTGCCAGTGGGAAAATAAAGAAGTGACCACTTTGTAAAATAATTTGGCATTATTGTGTCCATTTCAGTATTTGCATAGTGCTTGTGCATTAAGACACATGTGCAAGACTGTTCATGGAAGCCTTGTTGTGTACAGTAAAACAATGAAAACAACCTGATGTCCTTCAGCAAGAGAATAAATTGTGGTATATGCACACAATGGACCATCGCAGCATGGTGAAAATAGATTAGCTCCAACCACGTGAGACAACTTGGATGAGTCTTAACTACGCTTGATAAGTAGGAAGCAAAATCAAACAATGTATTGGTAGACAGACATATGGAAGGGGTATAACACACAAAAAAGGAAAAAGGCTAAGAATGATAAAGGCAAACCCCAAGGTGTTAGTTTGCTGCAGGGAGCAAGCAGGGAAGTGGGATAGTAGATCAGCACATGCGTGCGTGCATGTCACTGGGAAAATTTTTAAGTCTCGGGTGAGGTTGGCTTGGTGGTATTTGTTATGTAATAAAGATAACTCATGAAAGCAAGAGGGGTTATGTAAGGACCAGTGATGATTATGCGTCGGGAGCCAAGGAATACACTTGGTGCAGGGCCATGCACTTAAGGTGCTAAACTAAACAAAAAGCTCATTGATAACTTGTGTGATATTAAAGACAGAATTTCCAGCCTTCTCGTGGGAATAAGAGCTGCATTTGGGGACAGCCCAGACAGAGGGGTAGGTGACAATATTCCAGGTGTAAGCCTTTCTCCTCCTCAGAGTATCTCCTCAAGCCCCAGCACCCCTCATTTGCCCATGCTCTGCCCAGTTCTCTGTTGTTGCCTCTCTGTGTCCGCGGTGGGTAGACCTGCCGGCCCATTGCCCCTGTGCCCACAGTTCACCTCATCACATATTTGTCATATTTTTATTCTATTTCTACTAAATTTGTATATGATTTTGCTTTTGCCTCCAAGGCGTATTAATTATTGTAATTTTAAGAGTGAACCACACTAAAGCAAAGTGGTAGAGGCAGAAGACGAGGAATGGAGCGTGCCAGCTGAATTGTGTTCAGTCTCATGCATCACCCCCTGCATCTCACCTTTGCACCTTTAAGAGGATAACAGGTGCTTTGGGGCACCTGGGTGACTCAGTCGGTTAAGCGCCCCACTTCCGCTCAGGTCATGATCTTACGATTCATGTGTTCTGATCCCTCATCGGGCTCTGTGTTGACAACTCAGAGCCTGGAGCCTGCTTCAGGTTCTGTGTCTCCCTCTCTCTGCCCCTCCCCCAGCTTGTGCTTGTGCGTGCTCTTTCTCAAAAATACAAAACATTTAAAAAATTTTTTTAATGTTTTATTTATTTCTAGGAGAGAGAGAGAGACAGCGTGAGCAGGGGAGGGTCAGAGAGAGAGGGCGTCACAGACTCTGAAACAGGCTCCAGGCTCTGAGCTGGCAGTCAGCACAGAGCCCAACGCGGGGCCCAAACCCACGAACCGCGAGATCATGACCTAAGCGAAAGTCGGACGCCTAACCGACTAAGCCACCCAGGCGCCCCAACATTTTTTTAAATAAAAAAATGGTTTTAGTAGCAAATTGCACAAAATGAGGAGTCTGGAGATGGGCATTTCCAGATGGTGTCCATGCATTGATTCAACCAAGTGAGGACTCTGGATCAGCACCTGAGTTGCTCTTGGCTTTCCCTTGCTGGGTGCCAGAGGGCAGCAGTAGTGCCCAGCGCCATTGCCTCGCATGGCGACATCAAGCAGAAAGAAGGAGGGCTTCTCCTCACATGGCTTCCTCTTCATGTCAGGGGGGACTGTCTTTCCCGCCAGATCAGCCACCCCTCACTACACCGTGTTCCTACAGGTGTCATGATTCTGAATCAGATCACATGTTTACCTCAAAGTAGCAAAGAGGGGATGGGGTTTCCATGATTCCTGTCATTCAGTCATGATCCACTCCTTGCGCGAAGCAGAGAGCCACCTGCCACCTGAACACAGCGGGGCTTCAGCGAGGCAGGACAGAGTAGAACGTGGTTGTCAAGAAAGTAAACGAGGGTGCCTGTCCCCCATCGGTCTCTTGGGTACTTCCGAGTTGGTACTACAGGGGTAACAACAGTGCTCTACATCCTCTAATGCTTCACAGTTCTAGAGTGTTCACATACATTGTTTCACTGACGCACACCACAAGCGGGACACATAGGAGAGCTGTTCTTCTCTTTCACAGAGAGGAGGACTGCAGATCGTAGGTGGTGAGTGATTCACCCATGATCTTGCAGCTTCTGGAAATAGAACAAGAGTTTCCTACACTAGCGTCCAGCGTCTTCCACTATACTCTCAATGGGCACATGGCAGTGTAGCTTGCAACCCATGGATATGGCTGGACTGTAGGTTCCCTATGAATTTCTTCTAAGAGCCGATGCCCCACTTGTGCCCAACAGATGCCGTGTGACAGCTGCTGGTTTGGGCACAGGCAGCTGCTGAGAAGGAGTGGGTGGGGAAACAACATTTTTACGCAGACACATCTTGTGCAAAGTAAGCAATGCCAGAGCAGAGGATGAGGTCTTACAATGGAGGAGCAGATGTGTGAAGGCTGCGTTCAGCCCACGTGGTAGCCAGGAGCTCCAAAAGGCGTTACTGCAGTTGAACTTGCTGTCAGCATCGACTCCTAGATGGGATCCCGCACCTAGCCTCCTTTTAGTGACTTACACCCAGAAAGATAGAGGTGATGGCTATCGGGAAGCACTTGGGAACATGCACAGAGGACAAGAAAAGCATCTGGTTACTCTTTGAAGCCAAGGACCAAAGGTCATGAGATCCTACAGGTGCTGCTAGCTCCACCCGTAGGAGTCAGCCAGAAGCTTCTCCCACAACGCGTGCTCAGCCATTGCAGGGGACTGTCTGCCCTGGAAGAGTAATTTGGAAATACATATCAAGAGGTATAAGAACGTTAAGACCATTTAAACCATGGATAGCCCTCATGAGACATCATATTAAGAAAATAGCTAAAGGGGAGGAAAGTGGAGGCTGTTATTTCATGACACATATTTTGTGATACGTATACTTTTTCTGTATATGTTGGAGAAAAGTTGGAAGCAAACATTCAAAGCAGGAAATAACCATATGATCTACTCAACGGTATCCAGGCAGCTGTTAAAAAGTATAATTGTAGAATTTAGATTTATTCAAGAAAAATATTTATTGAATGCCTGCAGTATGCCAGACACTGAAATAGTGAACCCAGCACACCGGGTCCCTTCTTCTGCTGGCTTCGACTGTGGTGTGTGTGGCACAGCAGAAAAAGAACTGAAGGTTCAGAATTCAGGGAAAAAATACAGAAAAGAAAGATAGTAAGCACAACATGGTCCTTTCTATGCAATGTATGTTCCAAGTCCCTGAACAAGGACTAGCTAGGAGGAAACAAGGGAAAAAATACATGACTGATAGAATGATGTGATTATGAACAAGTTATTTCCTCTGTTGTGCTTTTAAGTCAGCACTACCACAAAAATCTAAACGGGAACACAAATTATCTGATATTTTTAGCATTCACTCCAGTGTTTCAAAAGAAATGTGTTTATCCAATTGTGTAGAAGTCAAAGAAAAACTATAATAAAAACATATTTGAGGGAGGAAGGAAGGAAAGAAAAAGGAGAAGAGGAAGGAGGAGATGGAGGGGAAGGGAGAAGAATAGAGGTAATGTTTGTGTTTGTGTCTGGTTTGAAAAAGACCTCTTTTGTTCATACTTATCTCCAGACCATTGAGAATCAGGTGAAAGACCTAAATTTCCCTTCTGACTTAAATTCTGATTTGCTCAGGCAAATCAGAACCTTCGCACTGTAACCACCATAACGGACTAGTGAAATCCAGTAAAGGCATGTTCTCTGAACAACTGCAAAACCAGCAAGCATTTGATGGCCACCTGTAGCCAGCTTTGGTTATAACCTTGAAACTGCAAATCTAAATATAAATATGGAAACTGTGTTTGCATGAATGTTGCCTACGTCCCAGCCACCCAGCCCTCTAGACACAGATGGCTTCAGGGAGACTTTGCTGTTGGTATTGGATGGCTGTAATGTGTTTCTTTAAAGTATCTCCCCCTCCTCCCCATGTTTTCTAGATCCAGCAATCATCTGTTTCAGGTTTCAGGCATTTGGGGTCATGAAAGAATCCACAGCACTATGGGTAAAGAAATCTTTTCTGGCTGCTCTGTTTCTACCATCTGCTCCTTCTGTTCTGGCTACTTGGAATTCCACCTGCTGCTTCGCTTCCTGTGTCATTTGTCTTCAGGTCCTGCCCCAAGCCCTTCTGCGCCATTGCCCTGCACTGCAGGACAGATGCTGTCTCAGAGCAGGCTGCAGTTTTGCGAGCTGCAAGATGGTCCTTGCAGGTGTCTGGCGCATGAATTTTCAGCTTGCCAAATGCTTTGAGATAGGAAGCTAAAAATACACACGTGCGTGTGTGTGTGTGTGATTCTTCTTTGTGATTATGAGCAGCAAGGAAAACGTGACAAGGGGATATAGGCTGCAGATGGCTGCATCATCGTCACCACCATCATCATCACCATCATCATCATCACCACCATCATCACCATTGTCACCACCATCATCACCATCATCATCACCACCATCATCATCACCATCATCATCACCGTCATCATCACCATCATCATTATCATCATCATCATCACCATCGTCATCATCACCATCGTCATCATCATCACCATCGTCATCATCACCATCGTCATCATCATCACCATCGTCATCATCACCATCATCATCATCATTACCATCATCACCATCATCATCATCATCACCATCGTCATCATCATCATCATTACCATCATAACCATCATCATCAAATAATATTTAGTAAGCTTCTTCTGTATGACTGGTATTAAAGGTAAGTCATTGTTGGGTAAATGCTGTCATTCACTGGCATCCCAGTTGACATACTGCAACAAGAATCATAGCCAGAAAGAAAGGAAGGGAATCTTCTACTAGATTTACCAAATCAATAACAAATGAACAAGTGTCTGCTTTCACAGCTGGGAGACCACTACCAAATAGGCTGAGATTTCCTACAGGAGAGGCTAAGGAGCAGATTTTCCTGGGCCTTGTGTTTCAACTGCTTCCTCTCTCATTTCTTAAAGAGCATTGGAGTTTGTTTTGCAAAGGTGAGTGATATTTTTGGCAGAGACACAATGTCAGTAAAGGAGGCAGGGATCCTTAGTTATGGAATTGGCTCTTCCACCAAAAGAATTTCCTTGGGAAAATTAATTAAATTAAAATTTCCTCATCTAAAAATTGAGAGGGTTGGACTGGATGGTGTCCTGTTTTAACCCTGACATGCCATGCCAATTTACGGAATTCCAGAGAGCCTTTTGGTCTGACTCTGGCTTGCAGGCTGAAATATTCATGCATGGTGCTCTATTCTATAGTGGAATGTCATACTGTGAGACTCTGGCTTTGTTCTTATGGGAAGTCAAGAGCAGTGAATTGTATTAAGTAGTCCCACACTAAGCTTTCTCAGTGTTTGATCACAGAGAGGACTCTGGATCCTACTAGCCCTCTTTGTAAAGAACTGTTCCTTCAGAATTGCTGCAGATCTCATAATTTTCAGTAGCCTGTTAGTAGTTAGGATTTCTGTGGGAACATGTTATACCATCACACCCCTTTCTGTCCACGGAGTGCTCCCATCCTGTGGCTTTCTGATGCTTTTTTCCCAGAAGCAGACATATCTCAAATATCTGCCCTTGGCCTTCTCTCCTTTCTTCATTGTCTCTGTAAGTGAGATTGTCCACTTCTACAACTTCAGCTGCTATTTTTGTGTATTTCTTCTCCAGAACCCATCTGTACCCCTGATTGCTTTCTGGAATTCTCAGTGTCTAATTGCCTGATGTTTCACCCAGATGTCCTGCTCATGCATTGAGTTCAACATATTCAAAATGGACCTCATCAAGTCCTCAAGTTGGTCCTGTTCCTAACCAGTATTCCCCAGGTATTGTGTCCAGATTCCAAAGGCATCCATCAATTACCCTTGATACCTACCTTCCCCTCAGGCCCCACATCCAATTTGGCCTCTCCAGTGTCTTGACAAGCCTCTAACCTTCTGGGCTTTCTACATACTCACTTAGCTGTATATATGCAGCTCCATCCTTCTTTTCCCATAGATGGAAAGACTTATTCCTGCTGTGACTGGTTTCTGTAAAGCTGCTCTAGATTCTCTCCCATCGCCTTCTTCAGGGACTCCAACACTTCTTCCATCTCTTTTCTTCTGTCATTAAACGTTGCCTCTCTGTCAGTGCTGTCACATCCTTCAAGTTTATGGAGAAAGAGTTGTCTAGACTGCCTTTATCAACATCTTCCTCCTGTTAATTTCTTGAGATATAATTCACACACCATAAAATTCACCTGTTTAAAGTACATCATTCAGTGGCTTTTAGCACATTCACAAGGTTGTGCACCCATCACCCTGTCTAATTTCAGAACATTTTCTTCAACTCAACAAGGAACCATGAACCCTTCAGCAGTTACTACCTTCTTTCCTTTTCCCAGCTTTTGGCAAACACTCATCTACTTTCTGTCTCTAGGGATTTGCCCATTCTGGACATTTAATATAAATGCATCGATACAATATATGGCCCTCATGAGTGGCTTCTTTTACTTAACATAATGTCATCAAGGTTCATCTGTGTTGAAGCATGTATTGGGACTTCATTTCTATTTTATAGGTGAATAATATTCCATTGCACAGATACACCTCATTGTGTTTATCCATCTGTTCATTGATGGACAGTTGGGTTGTTTCCATCTTTTGAATATTCTGAATAATGCTGCTATAAATATTTGTCTAAACATTTGTTTTTAATTCTCTTGGATATATACCTAGGATAGGAGTAGAATTGCTGAGTTTATGTTCAGCTTTTTGAGAAACTTCAAACTGTTTACCAAACTGGCTGTATCATTTTACATTCTTACCATCAACCATGAGGGTTCCGATTTCTCCACATTCTGCCAACACGTGTTAATGTCTTTTTAGTTCTAGCCATTCTGGTGGGTGTGCACTGATATCGTATTGGGGCTTTGATTTGCTTTTCCCTAATGACTAATGATGCTGAGTATGTTTTCATGTGATTATTGGCTTTTAAAATATCTTCTTTGGGGTAATGTCTAATCAAATTGTCCCTTTTTTCCATTAACTATTTTTTAAGTATAACGTTTGTCTTATTTTTTGTTGGTTTTCCTTTTTTCATTGAGATGTAATTGACATTTAACATTATATTAACTTCAAATGTACAATGTGATGATTTTGTTATTTGTATATATAATGAAATGATCACCACAATAAATTTAGTTAGCTCCATCACCACACATAGTTACATTTTTTCTTATGATGTGAACTTTTAAGATCTACTGTCCTAGCAACTTTCATATATATAGCATATTATTAACTATAGTCACCATGTAGTATGTTACATACCCAGTATTTACACCTGCTTTATTCTGGATCATTTTTAAAAATAGAAATTCAAGTGTAATGATTTTTCTTCCTCTTCCTCTTCTGTGTCCAATAAACCCATAAAAAATTCTTCATACCTGATATTATGGTTTCCGTTTCTGGCATTTCTATTTAACTTTTTAAAAATAGTTTCTGTCTCTCTGCTGAAATTAAGTTTATGCATTGGTCCATCTTTTTTTTTTTATTATATCCATTAACATTTAAATCATAGTTATTTTAAAGTCCCAAGAGTTACAACATCTGGGTCATCTCTGAATTTGATTCTCTTTATTACTTTGTCTCTTGACCATGGGTTGTGTTTTCTTTGCTTTTCTCAGTGTCTTGTAATTTGTACTGAATGATGGGCATCATTTATAGAACACTAGAGACTTAGGTAAGCAGTATTTACATCTGGAAATAGAAACTCTGCTTCATTTGTTGGTGTGTGTGTGTGCTTGTGTGTGTGTGTTTGTGTGTGTGTGTGTGTGTGTGTGTGTGGTGGGACTGTGTCAGTCTACTTGAGCAAGCTTTGAGTGTTCTTGCTGTTTGTTACCCTCGGTGTACCATGGCTCCATACTCCTTCGGGGTTGTGTGGCCAGATGGTGTTCCTCATTCCACTTTCAGCTTTCAGCTATCTTTGCACATCTAAGCAGACAGGGATTCTCTCTCCACACTCATTCCTCTTCTCTATTGGTAAAATAAAACAGGGTATCAAATAGAGAGACTTGGGGTGGAAATGGCAGGACCCTTTTATAATGGGTCTAAGATGTCTTTTCTGAGGTGGTTAATTCACTCTCAATTTGGGAGTGCGCAAAGTAATCAGGGTCCTCACTTAGAGTTCAGAGGCAAATGGATAATTCAGAGAAGGGGTTGAAGGCCCAGAGGAATGTTTTGCCCACAGACCACAATTCCCCAAGGCCTAGTGGTGAGGGGTGGGGGTTGGGTAGGTGAGAAGGGCAGAAGGCCAGCTGTGCAGTTAGTCGGGCGATGCTGAACAGGAGGTTTGAGCTCCTACTGGTGGCTGAGGAGAGCAGAGAGGAAGGGCCCAATGGGGTAGTTCTGCTGACATTTTTAATGGAAGGTGAGGCAGACATCCATACTAGAGCCCGGTGTATTTGACCATTGTAAGTCTTCTGGCCACAGGTATCTCTTATAGGAGGAGCAAGCTCCCCAGAGCAGACAGGTGTTCAGGGGCTACCAGCCTCCACTGCAGTCCTCATTTGGGGACTTTCGGGGAGGGAGATGTCCCAGGAGCAAGGCTGTATCAGCTTCCTTGAGGTGCTCTCACGAATGTGCATGGGAACAAAGTGGGGAGGGGTGGGTACCCATTATTCAGTATGATTGATGATAAGGCCTTTGGTAGGCAGAGGTTTGGGGAAGAATATTCTAAAAATCCCAGATGCTGAGAAAACATCTGTGACCCTTTGGTGTCCTTCTCTCCTCTGTGACTGTCTTTCTGGCCCAGTCACTCTAGTTAAATGATCTCTTGCCCAATGCCCTTGAATGGAGACACAGAGGGCTGTCCATGTCAGGAGCACCTGGCCAGCCTCTTCTGTGGACGTCACCCTGCTCTGTGTCCTTTGTCACTCCTCCCCTTCCCTGCCCCTTGCTGACAGGACTGTACTCACGAGTTTTGGCAAAGCTGACAGAGAGAATCACTTTGTGTCATGCCGCTGTTGAGACGGCTCCTATACAGGGTGGCCTTTTGTCTCCTTCTTGGCTGTGACCCTTTTGATAGGTCAGTGTCCTCATTTCCCTCACGAATCTGAGGGTCACTGATGTTTTGTATCTCTCAGTGACTTCACATCCCACCAGAAGGGAAGTAGGATCAGGCACGCTATGTTTGCTGTGATGTTGGGGTTGCCCTTTTACCCCCAGACCACTTTGTAGAAGGATGGACTTTTCTCCAAACCTGCAGCTGGGGAAGAAAAAGAGGAAAACACTACCAGTTAAATAAAAAGCCTCAAAAAGCTCCATAAGTTCAACACCAATAGTGAACCCTGATGTAAACTATGGGTTCTGGGCAATAATGATGCATCAGCATAGGTTTGCTGATGGCGACACACGTGC